GAGGAGGAGGCGGAGGAGGAGGAGGAGGAGGACGCCGACGACGCCCAGCTCCGCTCGAAACCCGTCCCGGACCCCTCCCGGATCTCGAGGCGGATCCAGCCGTGTGGACACGGGCGGCCTCCGGGAGCCCCAGAAAAGCGCCCGCGGGGGCCGCCGCTGTCTCGATCCGGAGCGGCCAAGAGGGGGGCGTCCACGAGGGGGGGGTGCAGATCATGGCCGGCGGCACGCGCGCGGCCCAGCGGAGGGACCAGGGACGTAATGAAATAAGAAGAGGCGCCATGAAATCTGGGGAGAAATCATGGCCCGCGCCATGATATGCCCCCCCCCTTAGCCATCGCCCCCCTCTGTGCCGCCCCCGACTCGAATGGCCCTTCTTCGAACTCGGCGGCAACAAGTGCGCGGACGCCGAACGGACTCAGATCGGGGAGACGTGCCACTCGTGTTCAGGAGACTCGGGTTGGTTGGCCTTGTAGGGCCGTCATGAAAACGACGAGGCCCAATCCGAATCTGAAACTTCACGCCACCTTCCGTTCCAAACGTAGCATGAACACCCGACCGCCCAAATCCAAGACGGGCTCGTCACAAACACTCGGCAAACCCGGGTTCTGGCGAATTCGAGTCATTCGAGTGTTACGGTTTCCCCATCAGAAAGGGAATCCGCCAGGGCAGGAGTCCGAGAGTACTCCCGCCAGGGAAGTTGGAGGCTGTCAGCTAGGATGCAACTACTGGGAGGTCTTCGCCGGAACGCTGAAGGAAGACTAAGCGTCATTGGGGGGCTGCTACGCCGGAGTGGGCCTCGGATTAGGCGGGCTGAACCGAACTACGCGGGATTAAGCTGGATTGAACCGGAGTTCGGACCAGGGCAAACTCTAAAGTTGACCTCCCAGGAGTTGCGCCCGAATGTCAGGAGGTCTGGGCTGGATGGGCCATGAGAAAATCTGGAGGAGGAGGAGGAGGACGGAGGAGGAGGAGGAGGAGGAGGAGGAGGAGGAGAAGGAGGAGGAGGGCGGAGGAGGGCGGAGGATTTTTTTTCCACCGCACATCCAGCAGGAGGAGGAGGAGGGGGAGGAGGAGGAGGAGGAGGAGGAGGGATGAGGAGGAGGAGGAGGAGGAGGAGGAGGAGGAGGAGGAGGAGGAGGAGGAGGAGGAGGGAGGAGGAGGAGGGAGGAGGACGAAAGGTTAACAAACAAAAATGCCGATCCGCTAAAAACCAGGGTCCGCGGGAAGGCTTCCTGGGGGCCGCGGGGCAGCCAACTCCACGCAATCCAAGTTCACCAGCCAGAGGAGGAGGAGGAGGAGGAGGAGGAGGAGGAGGAGGAGGAAATACTATAAAGACGAGGCGGGACCCCAGGGGCCCGCACCCAAGGTCACCCTGGCCAAGGGTTACTCTTTCGCGCCAGCCCGTGCTGGCCGCCTGGCCGCTTTACCCCCAGGGATGCAGTAGGCTGCTCCTTTCGGGCTTCGAGCGGCCCCTCCCCGACTCGGGCGGCGGGATGGTGTGGTTGAGACAACATGGCCCGGTGAGGCTGAATTCTGGGGCGCGATCCCGCGGATACGGGGTCGCACGGATACGTTCTGTATGGGGCAGCCGCGAACGAGAACGCTCTGCATCCGCGGGGTCGCGGCTCGGGGGCCCAGCTAGCGAGGCCGCGGATACGGATAGTGTTTTTTGCCCACGGCCAACTCAGACCCCCAGCCAGACGCGAGCTAAGTAGTGCTTTCCGTTCTCGTTTAGTCTTCGTTTTCCCTCTATCTGCCTTCGTTCCGCCTCTGCTGCAGAACATCACCAGCACGAAAACGGTCCACGACATATCGCCCAAACACGACCAACACGGCCTGCTCGGAGACTCCGACGGGCGTGGTGTGCAACGGCTGTGGTTTGCAGACGGCACCCCGTTCACCCTGCTGGGCGGGCGAGGATCTCGACAGAGCTCTCGGCCGCGCCCCGAGGAGGCCCGACGAGGGCGACGTGGCGCCCCCCTGGCCCCAGCGATTTGGACACCCGAAATGGGTACCGAAAGAATGGGCAACATGCCCAACAACAAATGTTGTCCCGAACCAACAGCGGCCGCTGTTGGGCAGGCGACCTTCTGTCTCGAATGGACACAGGCCGCGGCGGCGTGGACAGCGAATCCTGTTCAGAATGAACAAGAACTGCTGTTGGGCACCGTACCCATTCTTTCCGTGCCCATCTCGGGCGTCCAGAAGCGACGCAGCGCAGACCACACCCCGGGCGTGACCACACCCTCCGTCGTCGCCGACGTGCCCCCGGCCGGCTCCAACGAGATCGGCTACACGCAGGAGGGGCCCTGGGCCAGAGTGGCCTCTGGCGCAGGGGAGCCCAGAATCGAATCGATAAGTCGAATCGGCGATCGAAATAAATCGGATCGGCAGAAATCGGCAGCCGAGTCGGGAAAAGTCGAATCGGCGGAAATCGAATCGAATCGGAATCGGAATCCATCGGAGTCGAATCGAATCGAATCGGAGGATTCGAAACGAG